CATACAGTCCCATTTACGTTCTTATCAAAACTACTTGGATTTATTTGCACTAGTTGTATTAATCGACTACTAACTCGTAACGCCGCTCTCCTATCCTCCATCTCTCCCACAATCACCTCCTGCATTGATTGCGGAAATGACATTCGAAAGGGTGGGGGCAGAAAAGCTGACGATGATGGGGCGGGCCGGGCGGGGGACATGAAGCAGACTGGTGCCCGCTGAGCGGAGGGAACGGACAGGTCAATGTGGAGTTAGGACGTCACAGAGGTAGGGAAGAGCAAGGTCGTGGAGGGTCTTGAAGGCAAAGACAAGGGTTTTGAACTCTATCCTCTTAAGGAACGGTGCCGAACGAGGATGGGGTTGATAGGTTCACAACATTCTGTTTCCGACTGAGACAATAATAAGCTAAACATAGCAGCATTTTATGAAATTTGTGTTTCTGGTAGCACAGTTTAATGCAGCCATGCAAAACTAACTTTTAAGTAACTAGCTAATGATTTTAAATCTATATTCAGTGTTATAAATTTCACAGTAGAATGTGGCAAAGGTGTGAGGTAGGTACTGCTGAGTTCACTGATCTTAGCTTGCATAACTTGATGTGACAATGGAAGGAGTAGATGAACAATCTACAGTAATGAAATTGATAGTTAATGTTGGTGATTTGTGCAGACAGTTGACAAAATAAAGGTCCGACTTCTGAATACAAAACTTTAGATTGACAACTTTTTTGTTGTCCAAAACTAAGGAAGTCACACCACCAAAATTGTAAAATATTTGAAATCCAATACAAGGGACGGTACTTGGCCTAAGGATCTAGGAAGAGGTATAATAAAGTCTATTGTACACCCACAATTTAGGGTAAATGAACACATTTGGGAAGCTTACTTCCTGGAAAGTGGGGGGGATGGTAGTGACATGGCCCATGTTATGTATCACCTACAGTGCAAAAACGTGGATCCATATGTGATGATAATGGAAATGACAGAGATGGATATATCAGCTTCATCATATATGTATTTTTAATGAAGATGTATACTGTTATCAACCATTGGGAAAACTTGGCGATACAGGGCTCAATTTGCAAAGTTTCACAAGATCCCAAGTTCCTGTATGAATGAATGTAACCATAATAATCCTTGCATTTGATGTAACGCCTTATCACGTTGTTGAGATGTCTTGAAGTGCTTCACAGAATATACTGTAAAATGGAATGACTGTATTTTGTAGGCAAAATGCAGAAGCCATTTACGCACAGCATTCTTCTACAAACAGTCATGGATTGAGTGATTACTAGAGACAAAATATCAAGATCAAGACAGGCTGTTATCAGCTTTGGCAGTAAAGGACTACATTTTCTGAGCTAGTATTGACTATAGGTAATCAGACTAAATTGGCAGGCATTATTTCCTGAAGGAGCAGGAAGAGTTTTTGCTACCGAGAATAAATTGGATCAAAATTATAAAGTAACTGAAAATTAACTATTGAAACATGAGATCTATCTAATCACCAAACACAAATGTGCACAACTGGACACATCACAGCGTGAGCTTGCAATCCTTCATAAAGACTCAAAAAAAATTAAGCACAGTCAACATACACGACTTATCAATATACAGTGATGCTTTATTGAGTTACTTGGTGATCCAATTCATGATATCTTGATAACCAGAAAGGACGAAACAAAGCATATCAACAATCTAAAGAGGATTCTAAAGAGACTTCCATTACTAGGTTGTAGTTGGAGAATTGTTATGCATCTGGACACATACCATTTCTTAGATTTAAAGTTATGTATCTTATATACAGAAGCATTTAATCTTATGGCAGACATGTACATTATCATTAAAGAGATACAAAAACACGGAATCCAGACACACATAAGAGCACGACTGGGTCTGCTAACTAGTAGTATCATTTTTTTCTCCATATTATCTAGTTACAGGCAACTGCTTATGGCTTACAGAATGAAGTCCTAAGTGGGCTAAGGAAAAAGAGATAATGTTCCAGTGGTTAAAAACTTCCCTCCATTCAAATGACACTATCAATGAATTGTTTTTAGTCCCCTGAACACACCACTCAATGGAATGGGGCAGTCTCAATGTACAATCTCATACAAACAAAAGCCGTTTGGTTATTTTAGTAATCCTTGCAATCGATATAATGCTGTATCACATCATTGAGACATCTCAAAGTGCTTCACAGGAATTGAATGCGAATCTGTCACACCACTAGAGGTGGGATGTTCCCAATATGAAGGCTTAGGCATCATTTTGGGTTCCATCAGTATCGATATGAAACATTTTTTCTCTCTCTTAGAGTGAATAATATACATTTTCTAAGGGAATACTGCCTAGGGGTCACATCCACACACTTATAATGAAGATCAGGAGCCTATCAATTTAGATGCTCTTGGCAGCTCCCTAAAATCTAGATACTGAGTCGGGGAGCAGGGTGGATGATACATGGAGGATGTAATCATGTTGACAGAATATTAAAATGATCCCCTGTATTAGAGATACAATACTGAGATAGAAGTCTTGAATAAATTATGTTCTACCTTGTGACAAAATAAACCGACTCTTATGAAGTATTCCATTCGTGACCCTTAATTAAAACAAACTGGATTGTAAATGTTTATCTTACTTGGGGGTTGGGGGGATATCGGAACCAAGCAGGCCTCTGCGGCGGTCTCAATTCTCTGACTCCTGAGCCAGACGGGTCCGCAGTATTCCAAGGCACTGCTGATTATAGCACAGTCAGCCTGGCTCATCGGCAGGACCTGGAAGGGCAGACCAGTCACTGGGGGCAGGGAATCATCCGACTCAGCTCCTGTTAACCCTGCAAGCCAAAGCCCTAATGGGTAGAGTCGTCTTAGCTGGACATGCAGTGGGAAAGCTTGCCGGACAGCAATATCAAAAGCAAGCTATGCGGTTTTAGCTGATTAGACTCCAGCCGTACCCCAACACACACTCTATGTTACATTACAGAGTAAAGATATAGAATTTATGGTTCCATTGTTTTGAAACTTGGATCAAGTCACAAATTCATTCCAATACCAAATTCTTGTGGTCCTGGTCTATGGTATCTTTTATCATCACACTTTTCAAAATTTGAAACAGCAAAGTGGAGTAGCAGATGTGACTCATTTGTTGGAAGGCTACCCAAGAGACAGAGTTGTTTTAATATTTTTTGGTCAGATGGATGTCTGAGACAACAGAGTTGTTTGAAACTTGATTCCTAAAGGAAGAATTTGGATTTTTATTTTGCCTTATGACACCAGAGGGTCACGAAGCTCTTCAAACAGATAATTACTCTCAATTATCGTGACTGTAGGTAAAAACATTTTAACATTTATGCCAACAAGGCCCCTCAAAGATTCATGAGCTGATTGACCAAACAAACTGGATTATTGTTGGCCAGGACACCTGGAGAAACGCCCTTCTCATTTTCAATATTGTCACTGGATCTTTACAAAGTAAATGAAATCTTGGTTTAAAATCTCACCTGAAAGACGGTATAGTCAACAATGTAGTGTCAGCCTGGACCTTTAGTCCAAGTGAGGTTGAAGTCACAACTTTCAGACTCAGAGGCAACTGAGACAGTGTGACATTTACCATCAGCGTCCTGGGACATGCCCTGTTTTTGGGGGTGCTGCATTGTCAGAGGGGCCGTGCTCCAGATGAGATGTGAAACCGAGGTTCCATCTGGCTGTCTAGCAGAACGTTAAAGATCCCTTGGTGCTATTTGAAAAGAGAAAGGAGTTTGTTTTGGTGTCCTTGCCACGAATCTCCCAAATAAATTGGTTATTGACTCCATGGCTGTTTGTGTACAAATTTGCTGTTGCATTCACCCACAAAATACACAGTCACACCACTTTACAGTATATCCTGTGAAGTGCTTTGAGATGTCTTGATGACATTAAATGTAAGGTTTATTATGTTCTCAGCAATTGAAGCTTATCAAAGCATATAATACTTTTTTGATGATATCTTACCACCCCTATTGCCGTGACATTGAAAAGTTTTTGTAAAGTTATAGATTTGCAATTCTGCAACATGTGCAGGCCTATAAGGAAAAGGAAAGACAAGACAAATGTAATAATACAGAAAAGGTGCAAAATGGAGGTATTAGAAAGGCAAAGAAGGAGATGAGAGAAAAGTAGCAAAAGAAAAGCACCTTCTGTAGGCACTGTTGCAATAAAACGATTGACACCATATGGGTTGGAATGTGGAAACTTCTGGCACAAATATGTGTAATAATTCATACATTATTTAAATGGGAATTAGGGGGAAACCAGGTATAATGCATGGACATTATAGTTAAAATGCAGCTCATTCATTTCCTGCTTGGTGACTGTTTGTGCTGAAAATGCTGACTTCCTGGTCATTAGGTTTCCCCCAACATTGTTTCTTCACACTGCTCATATGCAGCGCACAAGAAGTTGGCAAAGATCTGATGATCCAGAAGTTGGACATTTTAACTTCCTACACCTAAAAACAGTAAGCGACGTTATTACGTGTTGGTCATCAGGTCGCTCTGGTGTCACTTCCTGCTTTGTGCATGCGTAGGATACAGGAAGTGACAGCAGCAATAAAATGACCCAGGTATTGGACGTGTGTTGGATTGGGAACCAGCTAGTGTGGAAGAGTGAGCTCGCTGACTGTGCGTGTGCAATTATAATAATAATAAACTTGCATTTGATATAGCACCTTATCACGTTGTTGAGGTGTCGCAAAGCGCTTCGTAGATTATACTGTAAAGTGACTGTGTATTTGTAGGAGAAACACGGCAGGCAATTGCGCACAGCAGTGTCTCATAAACAGTCTTGGATTGAGTGACCAAAGGGAGGGATTATTACCCCTGGAAAGCGATGCGCCAATTGACTAACAACCAGGGGAAAAAACAGCATAAAAGTCATGAGTCAAATGGACCAGTTCTCAATTAGAAGCTAGTACCTTCATTTTGTAATTCATTATTTTTTAATTATTGTTCTTTTTCAGATATCCGTGACATTGACAATGCATCAAGTTTTTCTGGCGACCAGGAACCAACCCTAAGAACCTCCTCACAGCAGAACAGGCCACAACCACTCAACATTCCTAAGGTTTAAAGACCAATTCATATTATTGAGAATAAATGAAGTGTTCTGTTTCAGACCAAAATCTTTTCATTATCAAATTACTGGGCCATTCAAAGACTTAAACTTAGTTAGTTGCATAGTCTCAAACAAATTTGCCAATTATTCAAAGGTACATTTTGTGAAACTGGTTGAGGCTACATAGAAAATGAACTATTTGTCCTCGATCTATTCATTTTTTCCTGTTCATTTTCTTGAATATCCTGCTATAATAGCTCTTAGGCAGCTACCAGTAAATTCCATTCACTGTTCACACACTTCAACATGGAAAGTAACCCTAATGCAAGGGACATGTTGTTAAAAGGCGATCAACTGGATCTAATGTCTCATCGATTGAGTTATAAGCAGGTATGGAAAAATACAATTTAATTTACATTTATATAGCACCATTCATTTCAGGAGGACCTCTCAATGTGCTTGAAAATGGCCGACTTCCAAGTTGTCTGGCTTGCTGCTGGCGCTCTGGGATCCCACCCTGCGTGAAGGGCGCTATATAAATGCAAGTTGTTATTGTTGCTATTATCACTTCCTGGGTACGGCGAAACAACAAAGGGGGTTCTTTGCACACGTGGTGTGGCACGAGGGAAGTGACATTAGTGGTGTCGGTGATGACCCGAACCTGTCAGGCGCATTACAGCGCAGGAAACCAATGAGCTGGGGCTGGATTTCCCACGTGATGTTGCAGGCGTATAACATCCACAACAACTTGCACTGATATAACGCGAGTACAGCAACAACAAGATTACATTTGTATAGCGCCTTTCACGTCGGGCGAACGTCCCAAGGCGCTGGGGTAGCATCTCCTTAGCAAATCTTCCCCACCTTTTTCTGAAATTGGCATTAAATTACAGAGTTTATGGTCGACTAGGGTAAGCCACACTATTTGCTAAATGTCACCTATTAATGTCAAGTAATTGAGATTTTGATAACTCGGATTGGAGCAAAGATTTCAGTAAACAAGGATTGCTTAATAACATTTTTATTTTTTTATTGGGATAAAATTGCTGAATCTGACCAGATTGACTTTTGGTCATGACCTGGTCCAATAGAGAAGTGAGGTCGCAACCTGTAACAGTGCAGTGAGCTTGGGGCCCTAAGCGTCTGCGTGCTGCTGCCGGCTGTTTACTTGACGCCACTTTGTGGGCGGAGGGCCTCTGGATACGTATGCCCGGTGCGGGCTATGGGCTTCGCTCACCTTGCGGCCCCCGCCGTTTTGATTGTCTGCGTGTCTCTCTCTCCTCTGTGTGTCTGTCTGTGAGTGTGTCTCTCCTTTGCGTGTGTGTGTTCGTGAATGCATTTGTGTGTCTGTGTGTGTCTCACTGTGTCTGTGAGTGTCTCTGTGTCTGAGTGCGTGTGTCTGTGTGTGAGTGTGTGACTCTTTCTGTGTCTGTCTGAGTGTGTGACTCTTTCTGTGTCTGTCTGTGAGTGTGTGACTCTCTCTGTGTCTGTGCGCGTCTTTATCTCTCCGTATCTGTCTGTGAGTATGTGACTCTTTCTGTGTCTGTCTGTGAGTGTGTGACTCTCTCTGTCTGTGCGCGTCTGTGTCTTTCCGTGTCTGTTTGTGAGTGTGTGTCTCTCTCTGTATGTGTCTGAGTTGCATATCTCACTCTGTTAGGGTGTGTGTCTCTGTCAGTGAGTGTCCCTCTGTCTGCGAGTGTTTGTGTGTGTCTCTGTGCCTGTATATGTCTCTCTCTGTCTCTCTGTGTCTGTGACTCACACTGTCTCTCTGTGTCAGTGTGTGCCAGTGTTCCCCACCACCTCCCCCTCCCCCGCCAGCCCAAGTGGGTCACCCAGATATTGTTAAAGAAAGCATTAATAATTTTTTCTTGCAATAATCTGATATGTTTTATTTCTTCATGTTTGATCTTAATCAATAAAATAAAAAATTATATTTTGGCAGTAAAATTTACCTCTTGATAGCACCCCCTCAACCCCTGAAAATGTTCTGCAAAATTTGCTACCCGCCCCCACAATTTCCTGCAAAATTTTATCAATTTTACCCACAAATTTTGGCAAATATTTCAACAATTTTCTATTGCTCTGTCATGACTGAATCCTGTCCAAAATAAATATATCTTTACATTTGATATAGCACCTTTCATGGCAGGAAGATGTCTCAAAGTGCTTCACAGTTTGTACTATAAAGTATAGTGACTGTGCATTTGTAAGCATAATTGTCCCACAATTTTACATGGGGGATTGTTAGCCAGGACACAGGGAGAAACTCCTTTCACTTTTTAGCAAACAAAAGTATTTCTGTGACCTAGTTAATTAAAGTTAAGACCCAGTTAACTATCCTGATGACCTAGTTAATTAAAGCATATGGAATTAAGTTATAAAGATACGGATGGTCCAAAACTCAATGACTGAGCCAGTTGATCCAGGGTAACAACAGGGCACTGGGCCTTAGCTATTCCTCGGCTCTTGAGAAGAAAAAATATCAGGCAGGGTTCTGATCACTATTCAGTGATCCCTGATGGAAAGTGCCCATCTATGTAGAAACAAAGAGAATGACAAATGCATCAGAAAAGTTGAGTCAGGGGATGCCAAATGCGTGAATGAGGGTTTCAGCAACTTTTTTGGTGTGAGATAAAAACAGCGGTTGGCAATGTGGTGAAGGTGAAGAAAAGCAGTCTTGGTCAGAGTCTGAAGTGAGGAAAGTTTTGCGCAGGTTCAGTGAATTTGAGAGAGAAGCCAGGGTGGGTTGAGGAGGTGGGAGCCAGCGTGAGAAGACGATGGCAGAATGGGAGAAGGATGGCTTCCGACCTTGATGTCTAACAGGTATAAAAACAGCATTGGACCTGGAATCAAGGGTAGAACGGAAAAGTTGATTTGGTGTCATTCATGTACGTGGGTTAACACAAATACTACTAATAATAATAACAATTTAGTCACTCCTGGCTGCTGAGGTTCACCCACAAAATGTATACAATCAATTCACTTTACAGTATATTCTGTGAAGCGCTTTGAGACATCTCGAAGACGTGATAAGGCCGTATATCAAATGCAAGGATTATTATTATAACTCTGTGCTCACGGATGATGTCACCAAAAGGGAGCATGTAGATAAGGAAAAGAAAAACACCATCTGCAGAAAGAAAAAAAAACTAATATTGCAGCTTTGGAGAAAATGTGGTTTTGTGAAGATAAAGCTCAAGCCAGATTTCCATCTTTACCTTTGCATTTTACAGCATAACCTTTGAAGGATAAGACATCTTTTTTGAGAGGTTAGCCTAATGAAATATGAGATCCTTGTTTACTTACATGTGAAAGATTCAGACTTCTTTTCAAAAGTGGTTACAATTTTTTTTATTGGCAGTTAAATACAATCACTTACGTGTTGAACTTTTTCCCCTGATTCGCACTTCCTCCAGGGTTATTAATCTTCCATGTCACATTAGAATTATCATCAATAAGTAACTGCATGCTCTTCTACTTGTCGAATAGTGAGCCTTATGCAATTTCTTTTTTTTTCACTCCATTCACTGCATTTGTTTTTTTTAATGTTCCAGCAGTAAGTCACATTTTTAATATGATCCTTTTTTTTTTACCAGCTCTTTGGTGTATTTGCTTCAACTGTACAGGTATTTAAATATCATGTAGCCATCTTTTTATAAACACCTTTATGAATATATCTATTTACATTGTACAGCAGTGGGGTTTAAACTGAAAATCACTGCAAGTTTTTTAAAAAATAAATTGGAAAGATATCTGTTTTTTGAGATTGTAGTAGAGAATCTACTACTGTTACACGTTACATTTTGTAACCAAAATGTTTGTGTGGATTTCCAGTCTGAAGCTTCATGGTCTTTTGTCCAGCTGAGACACCTACTTTGCCTTGCAGTGTTGATAACATGTCTTTGCCTCATTCACCACACAGGCAAATCAGCTATCAACCATTTGGACTTTTGCACACCTTCCCAGTTTTTTTTTCAGGCTCATTTCCTCATTGTCATCTCAACTTCATTGAGATCTACTTATCTCCCCCCCCCCCCCCCCCCCCCCCCACAGCCCCTTTTCCTCCCCTCCAGGCATTAGTACAGAAAATCCAATTGGAAAGGAAATCAGTGTTCAGAAAGCTACTTTTCACTGAAATTGTACAACTAAATGCATGTCATGTACTGGTGTCTTTATGAAGTTGATGATTGATCTTTACTTTCTGTTTGTTTCCTGGTTTCCACTTAGGCAACTGCGAGTTCACAAAAGAGACATTGTGTGGAATTTCAGGACTTCAGTGAAGGTAATTGATTTTCCTTACTTCAGTACTCCTTTTATATTGCAATATCCGGACTCCGGTAACCAAATCCCACATTCCGAGCTCTGAGGGCTTTACATTTAAAATCACATGGATTTTCTGAGGAGGAGGTGATGGACAGGTAACCACTCCTTGTAATCTGTGTTTTTGTAAAAGGTAGCACTTTAACTGACTTTCTAAAATCACCCTGATGATCAGCTGTCTCTGCAGAGCACGGCATAACCAACAGCTGATCTGACTCTTCGAGTTGGGTCCAGCCTGACTTGGAATCCAGAATTTCAACTGATTTTTATTACCATTTGTCTCCAGAGACTGTTATGATTCCAGAGCCCTGTAATATGAAAGTAGCAACCTTTTAAGATAATGCAAATATGTCTCTGTATTATATCTGCAGGTGTGGTTACGACCCTGGAATTCATGGAAGATTTTTTAAATATTGGACTAATTTTTAAATTAATATATTAAATATAAATATGTTAAAAAAAAAGTTTATAGATGGTGGTTGGCAGAGGCCGCTCAAGACAATCTGCCACCCTAGGCAAAACGTCAGCCTTCCGATTACCCCATCTCCACCTCCCCAAAGTATGCGTAGCACCGCCACACCCCTTCTCCCCCCCAAGACCATGTCCTTACAAACCTTGACAGCAATGCGTCCTCTACAGCTCACTTGGGCCTCCATAGCTCCTTCATCACTGTGACTGCACAGCTCCTGACTGGAGAAGCAGAAGGGCAGGCCGGTGATTGACGGTCAAGCCCTATGTTAGGAGGTTCAACGCACAGACTGACACTCCAATGCAGTGTTGGGGTGGGGGGGGGGTTGGTGGGTGAGTTCAACATTGTTGGATGTAGAATTCAAAACTTGGACAATGATGAAATCTCTGCCCTAATTCATGAACTTGCTTTGTAACTGAATGAATTTACATTCTTAGGAAATAGGAGTGCCTGTTGAGAACTTGTTCAATGGGTAGATCCAGCCAAACTGTCCACAGAGGAGAAGTCACAGAGACAGACACCTGTTTATTACGTAGACGTAGACAGAATCAAAGCAAAACAATTTAAAATAGAAGTCAAAACCATATATGCTGAAAGTGAAATAAAAAAACAGGAAATGTTGAAAATGTCTGCTTCCAAAGTAATGTGCAAGGTACGAGCTCTCATCAGAGGTTATGAATTGATTGAATTTCTTGGAAATGCTTCCCCAGGTATTTCTCTAAACCTTTATGGTCAGTCAACAAAATACATTTTCTTGATTGACTATCTTTTGATTTATGCCATAAATCAGACTTACCTAGACTCCTGTGACTGTTCCTGGAGATGAGGATGGTTAGGCTTGTTGGCCCATGGGCCACAGGTTGGCCATCATTGCTCTAATGGTTTCTCATCCCAGGCCTTCACGGTAATCTGCGGTGTACCTTGGGGCTCTTATCTATATAATTCCTCTTGGTAATATCATTTGGATGTATTGGTGAGTTTCTAAACATATGCTGATGACACCCAGCTCTGCTTCTGGTTTCATAGTGGATTCTAAAACTGTTGGTCGAACCAACTGTCTGTTTGACATCAAGCCCTGAATGGATGAGCCTTACGGTCTTTCAATTTAATGTAAATAAGGCCAAGCCTATCTTATTAGGTTCTTGTAGGAGCCAGTGTTTTGAGTTCAGCTTCATAGAACACCAATTGAGTTAAATTGGTTTCCTGTTTGTAGATGCACTAAAATTGTAGTCTCAGCAACTGTTAGGAACAATCCAGTATAGAATTCTTTGGGTCCAATCATTGGCATCTTACCAATGCACAAATGTCTTGATATCATTGCAGTACTTGCATATAATGATGTCAAGCCATCTGCATGTGCTTGTAATGTGATTTGATCTTTTAGTTAAGAGACGCTACATTTCAGGACTCCAGAACCAAAGGTAATAGACGTATTAAAATAACAAAACCATTTATGGACAACAAGAATTTAGTAATGACTTTCTAAATGTGTTACAGTGTTAATTGCTTAACAGATAGGATATAGTCTGGTAAGGTTAATCACATTTCACCAGAGCCATGGCTATTTGAAGGGTCAACATTGAAATTTTCCTGTAACTGAGTTTCTAAGGCTGCTGTAATCGTTGCTCATTTATTGAGTTGTATCAGTTTGATCTGATTACTATTACTTTCAGGAATCAGTATTTTATGGCAGTGGAAAGGTAAAATTGCAGTTGATCAGCTCAATTAGGAACCACTGATAATATTTGTTGGCCTGTGGAAAATAACAAATGAGGAAAGTTCAATTACCTGCACTTGGTATGATCTTCCTTATTTGCTGACTGACGTTTATCATCCACATCCCAAGTTCTGCTTTTAAAACAGTAAAATAAAAACTAATAAATTATTTCTTCACTGTAAAATATTGCTTTTCCGTTGCTATGCTTCCCATGCTGCTACTCGGATCAAAGGACCCAGGCCTGCTGTATGTGCAAGATCCTTAAATCCCATCATGATTTTGCGCTCTCTATTTTTGCATTCTCTTCCAACCCAAACGCTCAATTCTTCCGATTTTCAACTATTCGTTATTCCTTGTTCGCTATATCCAGTGATTCTGGTTCTCTCTCAGAAAATCTCTTGACTTTTACCATCACTGCCTCCTCAAGTTTTTCAAAACACTCCCTACTTACCTACCCTGATGATCCTTATTATCTTTTAAATCGCAATGGATAGTTACTAGTTGGTCATTGATGTCTGATGAGTGAAAGTTTGAGCCCTCATTAGATGGATGTCACGTACCACAACCTCCTGTGAACTTCCTGGTGGGAAACGCATCTTAGTCATAAAATGTATGAAAGCATTGCAACCATTTGCTGTCCAAAGCTCGGACACACATTGAGTGATGATGGTTTCACCAGTTGGAGATATAGAGCTTGAACAGCAGCTGCTTACCTATCTGCAAACCGATCAAGAGAGAGCCATAGTAGCCATCTCCTCAATGCACACAACTGATTTGCAATTATCTAGTGCCTTTCACAAAATAATAATAATACTTGCGTTTGATATAGTACCTTTCACTTCGAAAGGGTGTCTCAAAAGTCCTTCAGAGGATGTACTGTAAAGTGGAGTGACTGTTTTGTTGGTGAACATGTGCTTCATATCATAATAATAATCCTTGCATTTGATATAACACCTTATCACATCTTCTAGATGTCTCAAAGAGCTTCATAGAATATACTGTACAGTGAATTGACTGCATATTTTATGGGTAAAACACGGCAGCCAATTGCGCACAGCAGTGTCCCACAAACAGTCGTGGATTGAGTGACCAAATATTATATATATTCCTTTGAAGGGTTTATTACTCCCGGGAAAAGCAATCTGCCAATCGACAAACTACCAGGTTCCTACTTACTGCTTCGTAAACAGAGACGTGTGGTGTAAGGAAAGTTGTCTAATGTTTCACCCTGCCAGGAATTGAACCCAGATCCTCTCACGTGCGGGGATTAAGAAGATTAAGATTAGTAATGTGATTCCTTCTGTTGGATTATTTGTCTTAAAAAAGTGGTTTACAAATGATTCATTTGATGGTAGATTACTATGTTTGATCCAGTGCCTCTGGGATAGAGAGTGAGACATATTGGCCAAGTTTCCCCATTCCTGGGTTCTAAAATGTATCTTGCTAATTGAAGATCATTATCACAATATATTATATCATACAGAGTTTTGGAAAATAGTCTTAAATTCAGCTGTAATTTGGAAGTTGAACTTCTGTTGTACCAAAAGGAACTGGAAAATTGGATTCTAAATTATGCCTGAATTTTCCAAAATTCTGCAGGATCCTAAAACAACCTAAGCATAAGGTGAGAATTTTGAGGCCCCGTTCTATGACCTCAAATGAAAATGTGCTGTACAGGTGGGATCACTTGGCTGCGATACCACTAGCGTTAACTAATACACTGGCACTCCCTGTCCAGGTTCATACATGAAGAATGGCCACTTGAATGATTTATAAGTGTTTGTTGACAGCAGTGGACCTCACCATGACATGAGTCATTGCCTGCGGGATTATAGTGATTGAGCAGTTTCTTTCAGAGTAAGCAGTATGAGTATAAATCCATTTACAGTAACAGGAAACTTGCTGTCACTAAAGCAGAAGAGAAGGACAATGAATCCTGAAAAAGTGTAAAGCTGTGACTTTCTACTTTGAAGGTTTAAATTTTAGTAATGAGCGGGGAGAAGGCAATGGCAGAAAATGAAACAATTTGATCATAAAGCATAAAGAGACATATTATGCAAACTGAGATATTGAAAGAGCACTGAACAACAGAGAGAGAGAGAGAGATCCCAGAGAGAATTAAACCTAAATAGCAAGAAATAAAGGAGAGAAAATTAAATAATAAGGGAGAAGAGGAATAAACACAGTGCAATCCTGTTGTAACGCACTTTGTTACAGCACTGATTACAACAACAATTTGTATTAATATAGCGCTCTTCACACTGGATGGCATCTCGGAGCGCTTAATTAGTTTATAACATGAATCCCTTAGCTTGGTTCCCATGCACAGAATACTTACAGATCATTAAGCCACGCCAACATCACTTTTTGCACACTGAACTCGAACAGACAATCAAAGTGACACACAGATTCAAACCTGATGAACCAGATTTCAGCTAGTTTACCCAGCGCGTGCAATTGTTTTTCTATCACAGGAACTGACCTGGCAAGCTGTGATATAAAAAACTTGTGTTGTGTACACCTAAGTGCGGTGAAACTGGCTGTTGTTATAAGGTTGGTCGGGATTTTATAGATTCCAATCACCGTTTGAAGGGGTGGAGGGGAAATCCACTGCAAAAATGAGAAAATAAATTCAGGATTAGACTGACGTTCAAACGGAAAACACAAAGGGACTAAAGTAAGATAGGAAAATTAATAAGTAGAAGGTTATTGAAAATAACAACAACAATAAAATTACATTTGTAGAGCGCCTTTCACGTCGGGAGGACGTCCCAAA